CACCATCCATTTGTAGTTTGCATGATCCTTTCATGAAGGATATCAATGGTAGAAACTGGTTGCTATTACTCAGTATTCATTGTCCTGCCTCAGTTTTACTAGAACATTGCTACCCAGCTAATAAAACTATATTTCCCATCTTTCCTTGTGTAAAACTAAATTTGAGTCCCTGGAATCCAAGCAGATTGATTGGAACAACTCCTGAGAATTTTCTTTTAAAAATATGTGCCCTGGACTTTCTTTCCCTTTTTTGTCTTTTAGGAAATGGTAATGACTAAAGATGTATTAGAAGTCCCATCCTGAAGATAACAGAGCTGTCCTGCCAGCCTTGGATTATACTCCTCTGGGCTGCGAATTAAGAGAAATAAAGTTTTCTAACTAGAGGCATTGTATTTTGGGGCTATCTTTGTTAGAGAAGCTTAACCAGTACCTAAATGGCTCGGGTATCTCTCTCTTTTCTTCATATATATAGCACTAAGAGCTTCAAGTCATATCTATCATAGACTGGTTTCTTCACTATAAGTTATATGCACATTTTACTTCTCTAATATTAGACTGTAAACAGATATATGCAAATACTGTTTCTGATTTTTCTTTATCTCTTAAAATTTCTAGCATAAATTTCCTAATCGAGTGAACATTTAAAAAGCACACTTTAATAGTCAATAGCATCGTGATGTGTATGTGCGGTGACCAATGATTACTAGACTTAATGTGGTAATCACATTGTAAAGTATATGAATGTTGAATCACTATACTATACACCTGAAACTAATATATAATATTGTATACGAACTATACTTAAATTTAGAAAAAGGTAAAACAAGCATTTTTTAATTATTCTGACGCTCTCTTTACTTCTCTCTTTTTCAATTTCTGGCCAAATATCTAAAATGATAATCCTTTTATTTCTGTACAGCTAATTTCTCTTTAAACTTCCATCTCTATAAAATCTTGTTTTTGAATATATTGTCTTTTCTCTCGACAGTATCTTTGAACCATTTTTTACTTTTTAAAAAATTATTATCAGAGACCAACCCTTTGATATCTTTTGACTTCTGTGACCTGCTTCTCTACTTTCTGCCCGACTAACAAGCCATCCCCTTTTGGCTAAGTCTTGACTCTTGAATCTTGCCTCTTTCTTTAATGACCTAACACACTCATGGCTGTTAACCTCTATGCTGATAATTACAAAACCCTCTCAACTTACAGCCAAGAATTCTAACTCAAAGTATTTCCAACAATCTTTATATATTCCTACTTAGGCAGCTTACCATTACCTCATACTTAAAATGCTTAAAATTGAACCCAATGACTTCTCTTATACTAGCTCTCCTTCCCAATTTCCTCTTTTCTAAAATGATATAGCACTTCTCTGAGCGCTTGAGACTTACAGTTTTTTTCCATCTTCTTTTAATTTCCTTCATTAATATAAATTATTGTTAAGCCATTCCTCTTTGTTTTATCCCACC